AGTACTGATATACTGGATAAACTTTCGAAAACATGCTAGATTAAAGAAGCCAGTCCACATAATATGTTTCCATTTATTTTATATGTCCTGTCTAGGATGGTCATCTGTAAAGAAAGTGCATTGGTGGGCTGGAGTTTCTTTTGTTGTTGTTTTTTGTTTTTGTTTTTGTCTGTCTTTTTGAGACAGGGTCTGACATGAACTCTCAGTGATCCTCCTGCCTCAGCCTCCTGAGTGCTGGGATTACTGGCATGTGCCACCGTGCCCGGCAGCTGGAGCTGGATTTTGAGATAAATGGCAAGTGACTGCCAGTGCATTTGGATCTTTTTCAAAGACATGAAAATGCTCTAAAATTGATTGTGGTGGTGGTTATAAAATCTCATGAATATACTAAAAATCACTGACTGTGGAGGACCACTTGGGTGAAACTCCTTGAAAGAAGAGCAGTTGTCTCCCTTTTGGCTGAGCCTGACCCTACTTCCATGTATTGATATGTACAGAGCTGGCTAGGGTGTTTTCCTTATCCCTTCAGTTGGCTTTAAGCAGTGCATATCGGTCTAGCCAATGTGCTGATTTAGAGCCAGTGTTCCATGCTGTTGAGCCTCAAGATAGACAGTGACTTCCTGGGGCTTGAAAGGTTACACATCAGAGCTGAAGCTCTGGCCTCAAAACAGGTACGATCTCAGTTGTGTTATGCAGATTACGCTTTCTGCATATGCTTCTCTCTGTATATGGTAGAGGTGATTTCAGGCTTCCTACTTAGCCCAGCTCGTGACACTCTTGTACTTCCTGCCACTCTCACAGTCACTCATCATCTAGCCACACCTTTCTTCACAAATGAATAAAACCTGGGTTCGGTCTTGGGTCGAGGCCTCTGTTCTGGATAGCCATCATCATGGTTGATTTAGGACCCCTTGGCTCCCCATAACTACAAATATGTCTTACTGTCTTTATTCTCACCCTGGGTTGCACTGGAATTAACTTGCTAAAATTCCAGTAAATTTTCATAGGATTACAAATGTAAACTTCCTGGGCCATGACAGGACTGGGAAGGGCTCTCTATAATTGACTTGTGCAATAAATAGGTGAAATGTTACGGGTGTTTAAGTTATATTTATAAAGCTGTTAATGAAAGGATAAGTGCTTCTGTAGTTTTACCACATCTCTCTGTGCACTGTTTTGTCGATGTGTGGCTTGCACCTGTAAAACCAGCACCTCTGGGAGGCTGACACAGGAACAGTGAGAGTTTGAGCCCAACTGAGCAATTTAACAAGACCTTGTCTCCAAAAGGGGGGCTGTATGTGGCTCAGTGGCCCTGGGATCAGTCCCGTGTGTGTGTGTGTGTGTGTGTGTGTGTGTGTGTGAGAGAGAGAGAGAGAGAGAGAGAGAGAGAGAGAGAGCGAGCGCACACGCGCAAGATAAAGAAAAAAAGAAAGGGAGATAAGGCTGAGTATGTAGCTCCGTGGTAGAGGGCTTTCCTAGCATGTTGAAGACCCTCAAGTTTAATTCTCAGCACCACACACAGTTCATTGTTGAAAATTTATAAAACAACAAAGAAAAAAGGAAATCATTTGCAATACTACTCTGGAATAGATCATTGCTACAGTTTTTGTAATTGCATAATTGTCTAATTTTTAGCATATAATGCAAAACCTGATGTATTATTTTGGTATATTGGAGTTAGTTTATGAATATACCAGTTAGAAATTGCTTTACTGGTTCTCTATGTTTGACTTTAATTTTTTGATGTTTTAAAATTTTTGTAGACAGGGTCTCACTGTGTAACCCAGGCTGTCCCTGAGCTCGTGGTTATCCTCCTGCCTCAGCCTCCTGAGTGCTGGGGTTACAGGGATGCATCACTACACCAGGGTGACTTGTTGGTTTTGAAAATATAAACTGCTTTGGAAATCAGCTTCTTCTGTTGCTTCTAAATTGAGCCCCTCCCTCCCTCCCTCGGGGGATGTAACTCAGCAGGTGCAGTGCCTGCCTAGCAAGTGAGAGGCCCTGAGTTTGATTCCTGGTTTAAAAAAAAAAAAAACTCAGCACTCATGTGGCTGAAGTAGGAGGATTGTTGGGAGTTTGAGACCATCCTGGGCTACAAAATGAGCTCAAGGCCAGCCTGAACTGCATATAGTGAAGGAGATCCTGTCTCAAAAAGACAAAAACAAAACAACACGGAAAAAACAACTCCCCTTCCTTCCTTCCTCTCTACCTCCCTTACCTCCCTCCCTCCCTTCATCCTCAGTTTGATTCCTGGTACCCACCCATTCCCTTCCTCCCTCCTTCCCTTTTTTCTTTCTTCCCTTTTTCCCTTTCCCTCTCTCTAAGAGAGGCTCTTGCTGCATAATGTAGTCTGGCCTTGGATTTACTAAGTAACCCAGGCTGGCCTTGAACTCAGGTAGCTACCAGGTGTGGTGGCACGCACCCGTAATCCCAGCACTCAGGTTGAGGCAGGAGGATCTCCTGAGTTTGAGGCCAGCCTGAACCACGTAGTGAGACACTGTCTCAAAAAACAAAGAGCCAGGGGTGTGGTGGTGCATGCCTGTAATCCCAGCACTGGGGAGGCAGAGACAGGAGGATGAGTTTGATACCAACCTGGTCTACAAAGTGAGCTCAAGGCCACCCTGAACTACATAGAGACCCTGTCTTAAAAAGACAAAAAACAAACAAACAGAAAGTACCCTCCTTGGCTCAGCCTTCTGAGTGCTGGGATTACAGGTGTGTGCCACCACATCTGGCATCAGCCTTTGTTCAAGACTGGTTTAGACCAAATTGTGCATCTTTAAGGTACGTGCTTGGTATGAATTGCATTTTCAGCAGTCACCTTTATTAGAGTATAACTTGTTCATAGAATACCACTTGAGCAGTGCAGTGAGTAATGTATATGATTGTGTAAGCACAGTTAGACATCTCTATTGTGCTGGTTTTGTATTTTCAGTAATTTGATATAAATTGAATCATGTACTCGTATTTTGTCTTTTTTTACCTAGGCTATTTTTGAGATTTAACCATTTTATTTTTGTAGTATCATTTATATACTACAGTTTTTATTAGTTTCCATTCTTTTTTTGTTTTTTATTTTGTCTTTTTGAGACAGGGTCTCGCTATGCAGTTCAGGCTGGCCTTGAGCTCACCTTTGTAGCCCAGGCTGGCCTTGAACTCACAACCATCCTCCTGCCTCAGCCTCCCCAGTGCTGGGATTGCAGGTGTGCACTACCACGCCCAGCTTGTTTCCATTCTTTATGGACATGTTGTTTATATTTTTCAGTATTACAACGTAGTTGTGAATATTTATATAAAAGTTTTTTGGGGGTTTATTTATTTATTTATTTTTTGGGTACTGGGAATTGAGCTCAGGATCTTGAGCTTGCCAGGCAGGCACTTGTGCCACTGAGCTACATCCCCGGCCCTTATGTAAAAGTTACTGTGCAGATAATATTTTCATTTCTCATGGGTAATAGCTAGCAGTATGGTTATTGATTCATATGGTATTTATTAAAGAAATTCTGTAACTTTTCTAAAGAGATTTCCAGGGTCTTAGTATTTCTATTCGACGTGGTGGTGCACTCCAGTAACTGAAGCCCTCAGGAGGCTGAGGCAGGAAGATAGCCATGAGTTAAAGGCCAGTGTGTGCTACATAGTGAGTTTAAGGCTAGCCTGAACGACATAGTAAGACCCTGTCTCAAAAAAATATTTTTCCTATTAATTTTCTGGAATTTTTGAAGAGGTGATCTTTGACACATTTTCCTGGGGTTGCATATTTGGAGTACTCTTAAATTAGCATACCGTTACTAAGTAGTAAATTCAGTGTCTACACCACACCTGTCCTAAGACATGCTTAGGCTTTGGGTATTGATGTATGTTAAGGATGCTTGCTAAAATGCAGATTGTTGGGTCTCATGATCAGAGATTATGAATAAAGTCAGAGAGCTGCTGTGTAAATATGCGTTGATTTCTTAAAACATAGGTTCGTTAATATATTTAGTCAGTGTTTGAGTTGTTTCTGGTTCTTGCTTTCACATGCTGTTGGATATATATTCTTTGCTCTGCCTGGGTATCTCAAGGATTATCCTTACTGCTTTGTTTGCCACCTAGTGGCAACAAATAGTAACCATCAAAAGTTTAGCCAATGAATGAATTCATTAGATAGAAGCTCTTCTGAAAGGGAGGGATAGAAAACATCTCGTTTTAGCCGGGTGTGGCGGTGCATACCTGTAATCCCAGTACTTGGGAGGCTGAGGCAGGATTGCTGTGAGTTCAAGGTCAGTCTGGGCTACATAGTAAGTTGAAGACCAGCCTGAACTGCTTAGCGAGACGGTGTTAAAAAGACCAAAAAAAGAAAGCATCAAGTGTCTACCTGTGGTGTGCTCATTGTATTTTTATTATATGAATAAATCCCGTTTCCTCCACTGACTTTGGGCTTTGGAAAAATACGTAATTTGTATTTATTTGTAAGGTAGCACATTTTAGAGACTGGGAATTTTTTTTTTTGTGGGGGATACTAGGAATCAAACTCAGGACCTCAGGCAGGCGCTGTGTCACTGAGCTTTAGCTTTGGCCCCTGGTTTTTGTATTTTTGGTTTTTGAGACAGGGTCTTGGTCTGTAGTCCAGGTTGTCCTCAGACTCATGGCAGTCCTTTTGCCTCAGCCTCCCAAGTGCTGAGGTTACAAGCATGTGGCACCTCACCTAATTTAGAGACTGCAAGCTTTTAAACTTGGTCTCAAACTACCAGTTCAATTACTTTGACTGGAGAATGGATGGATGTGTATTCCTAGTGCCCTTATTTAGTCTAAAAGAGATGATCTAAACCATTGGTGGCAAACTTATGTCCAGGCCCATGTGTTCTACTGCTGAGCTACACCTCCAGCCTCTTATTTCTGTTAAAAATTTTATCTCACATTTTTTGTTAGCTTGGCAAGGGAGAAAAACAACTATGAAAGGGATATGTTAAAGAAAAAAGTTTGTAAGTTTGTACAGTCTGATTTTACTTTTTCCCATTTAGAAATGGTTGAATCAATGAAGAAAGTAGCAGGAATGGATGTGGAGCTGACAGTTGAAGAAAGAAACCTCCTATCTGTTGCATATAAAAATGTGATTGGAGCTAGGAGAGCCTCCTGGAGAATAATCAGCAGCATTGAACAGAAAGAAGAAAACAAGGGAGGAGAAGACAAACTAAAAATGATTCGAGAATATCGGCAAATGGTGAGATTATTATATTTTAAAGGGAAATGGTTATTTCTTAAATGCACTTGCAGTTAGTGCCATTCATCTTTATGTTGAAAGTGTTACGCGGTAATATCTTGCCTCATGAATGCTTCTGTTCACAATTTGATGCTCAAACAAAAGTGTTCAACAAAATCAGGTGACAAACACAGCCACAGCTGTCTTCTCCATACAAATGCAAACGTGGTCATCTTTCCCTAAAGGCCATCTTCTCCAAAATTGTAAAACAAATTTTTAAGTGAACTGAAGTACCACTGTATCTGTGTTAGTTAGCTTTCTGTTTAACAAAATATTAAGGCAGTTAATTTAAATAGTTTACTTTGGCTGACAGTTTGAGAGGCTCTAGTCCATGGTCAGGTAGACCTGTACCTTGGTGGTGGTGCTGGATGGCAGTGGAGGGGAGAGTCTTACAGAACAAGACCTCTATGTCACCAACCAGGGAGTAAAGACATAAACCTCTGGGGGACATTTATTTAATCCATAGTAGTCTCCTGTGTTACAGTTCTTAGGATTGAAAGAAGTGATGGGGGTGTAACTACCTGAATATGTTCTAATTTTTATCTTTTATATTTATAGTTAAGAAAAAAAAATTTCCAAGCTGGGCATGTTGGTGCATGCCTGTAATCCCAGTACTCAGGAGGCCCAGGCAGGATTGTTGCAAGTTCAAAACCAGCCTGGGCTACAAAGTAAAGCTCAAGGCCAGCCTGAACTGCATAGGGAGATCCTGTCTCAGAAAGATTTTAAAAAAAAATTGTCCAAAGAGAAGAGAATATTTGAGTGAGTGTCTGGCTTAAGTCTCAGGCCTACAGATGTAAGTAATTTGACCTTAGATGTTTTAGATCACAACCTAGTGAGATTGAGAGAGAGAGAGATACACACACACACACATATATACACACACATATCTCTTTATATTTATATACATGTTTATATATTTATATATAAAAATTTATATATAAATATATAATGTATAATATAATAAATATATATAAAGATATATAAAGATACAAATAAATGATTTTACATATTAGTGAATTTTCATGTTTTTACCCACCTGTATTAGAATTTATAGGCTATAGAATGTTTTAGACAGACAGGAGTAACTTTTGACTGGAAGCTACAGAGTTTTAAATATATGTTTAAAAATAGTGCAGAAAAAAAGGGCCAGGTGTGGTGGTACACACCTATAAACTTGGGAGGCTGAGACAGGAGGATCGTTGTGCGTTCAAGGCCAGCCTGGGCTACAAAGTGAGCTCAAGGGCAGCCTGAATTGCAGAGTGAGACCCTGTTTCAAAAAGACCAAAAAAGAAAGAAAAAAGTGCAGGTGGTTGAACCTAGGGCCTCATACATGCCAGGCAAGCATTCTACCACTGGAGCCACATCCCTAGTTCTGGTGTTCAGGTTTGATCACAGCACAACTAGAGAGCATTGTTGCTTCCATTGTGGCGACCATAAAACATTTCATTGATGATTTGAAGTGAACATTTTAGCCAATTTAATGAATATTTGTTTTGTCTGTTGTGTGTCATAGAATTTGATAGGTATTATGGATGCAAAGATGAAATAGACATAGCTACTCATTGATTTTAAGTGGAATAGAAAATATTAGAAGACTCTGGATACTTAGGGTTGAAAATGGTTTGAAGTTATGTCACATATCATGTGTATACATTCAAGAAAGGAGGCTTGGTGGTGTTGCTTAGCAGTAGAGTTCTTGCCCAGCATACTCGAGGTCCTGGGTTCAAACCTTAAAGCAGTGATGGTGAACCTTTTAAAGCTTTCAGTGATACAGCCAGCCAGCTGTAGTATGTGTACCATAGGTTTGCCACCACTGCCCAAGAGCTACCTAAAAAGAAAAAACAATAAAATGGCTCTGGAAAGGTAGGTATTAGTCCAGTGTATGGATGGAAAAACAGATTCCAAATTATTAAGTAACGTACCCAAGATCATATTAGAAGGTGGGAAGTTGGGAGTGACATTACTATTACCTCAAATAGTGTTGGCATAAAAATATGGGTTGGCAGTAGACAAGTTTGGTGTTTGAGAGGGATGAGAAAGGCGAAAGGTGCTCATTGAATAGAGAAGTGTATGAGTTACTCAGGCATGGTGGCACATACCTCAGCACTTAGGCACTCAGGCATGGTGGCACATATCTCAGCACTTAGGCTGAGGTAGGAGGAGTCTCTGCAAGTTCAAGACTAGCCTGGACTAGCAAGATCCTGTCTCCAAAAAAAAAGGAAAACAAAAAAGTCTATGAGTTAGATTGTGGGATTTGGGCTGAGTAGGAAAGGGAAACAGGAAAGCAAGAAGAGCAACTGATAAATTGGGAAAGAAGATGAAATCAAGTCTAGAGGTTTTTTTGTTTTTAAGTCTAGAGGTCTTACTAGTTCATAAATGATGGGTGTGATGGCATATGCAAGAATTTAGTCTCAGGTGCTTTAGAAGCAGATATAGGAGGAGTGCAAGTTCGAGACCAGCCCAATCAATTTGGCAAGACCTTGTATCAGAGTGCAAATAAAAAGGGCTGGGGATGTAGCTGAGTACACCGTGGGTCCAGCCTGTTTTGGGGCTGGCGTAGGACTGGAAAGAGTAAAGGAACTAAAAGGAAGTTAGAGGCCAGGAGTGGATTGTTGAAATTTTAGACTTCTAGGATATAGCACGGTTAGGCTTACTGACAAATGGTTTTTGGAGATGAAACAGCTGGGCTTTTGTTTGTTTGTTTGTTTGGGGGTTTTTTGGTCTTTTTGAGATAGGGTCTTGCTGTGCAGTTCAGGTTGGCCTTGAGCTCAGTTTGTAGCCCAGGCTGGTTTTAAACTTGAAACGATCCTCCTGCCTCAGCCTCCCAAGTGCTGGGATTACAGGCGTGCGTCACTACGCCTGGCCTAAAGAGCTGTTCTGAATGGAAGGTGGCTGGTATAATCCCTTGGTGAGATGTTAGAAGTAGATCATAGATAGTCAGTGAATGTGGGAAAAGGCCCTGGAGATCAAATAATGACAAATTGAATATGAGAATTTGAGGAAGAGGGCTTTGGAATGATGAGAACAGTCGTATGAAATAGGTAAGGATATAGAAAAACTTAGAATTATCCCTTCTCCTAGGGAATCTGTACTTGGAAAGCTATCTTGGGTATAATTTATTCAGAAGAGAACTAGTTTTATATAGGATAGGGATAAAATCATAGGAGAAAGGAAAGGGGAGAATTCTTGAACAGTGGAAAGCAGATTGATCTGGAAAGGTACAACAGAACAGTATCACTGGATTTTAGAAAATGGAGAGCAAGATGAGCTTGTCTTTAGGAATGGTGTGAAATTTTGGCACTGTAAACCATTAGAGATAACTGCTAGTACTGTGTTTACTTCAGTTTGAACATGTTTGGTATCATAACTATTTGTGGATCTCTACCATTGAAGGAACATAAGAATGTGAGTCCTGTAGACAAGCTGCCTGGGTTTGAATTTTCTTTCCCTCCCTTGCAGCCTGTCTTGGTGCATACTCTAGTTCTCCCTATTTTTGTGGTGCTGGGATTGAACCCAGGATTTGCATGTGAGGCTCTACCCCAAGCCCAAGCCCTTAAAAACCCTCCTGGTTTTTAAGTTGGTGGACTTCAGGGCAAGAACTATATGTTAACCTTTGTTTTTCCATGTAAATATAGTTGCTACCTGTATTTAATAAAGAAGTTAGTTCATTTAAGTACCCAGCAATTAGTAAGACAATCAGTGTTTCAGTGTAACTTACTGGTGATTTTGTAACTGAACTGTGAAGTTGCTTGTACTGTATATATGTATATATATTTTAAATATTTAACCGTTAGCATGCAGAGCAGAAAAGCACACTGCCATAATCTGGAGACAATCCTTTTTTGTTTTTTTTTGTGTCAAAAAAGAGAAAGTGGTTTTGGAGAGAGATGTATGTTCTTTTTAATATTTGTCTGTTCCTCAAAACCAGAGGTAGACAGAATGTGTAATACTTTATAGAGTTTCTAGATTTAAACAGTCTGTAATTTTTCCCCTCCAGGTTGAGACTGAGCTAAAGTTAATCTGTTGTGACATTCTGGATGTACTGGACAAACACCTCATTCCAGCAGCTAACACTGGCGAGTCCAAGGTTTTCTATTATAAAATGTAGGTTCTATAGCAGAAGGTAAAATAAAATATGAAAAGTTGGCCTTCTTAAAGTCATGACTTTTCTGCGTAGGTTCTCAGTTTTTATTTAATAATAGTTCGATGTTGGAAGATTAGTTAACACAGGGTGAGTCTCAAAAGTTAAAAAGATTTAATACTCATTTGCAAACTGATAATGAATTAATATACTTGCATTATAGGTGGCCAGACTAATAAAATTGTATTGTATTAACTTCTTGGTTTACCTGTGTACTTTCTTTTGCTTTTGTGGGTTCTTCACCCCTAACTACACCTACACATTTCACAGTGTAATCCTGTTGTATAGAAATTTTATTTTGAGGGTTGGGGATGTCGCTCAGTGGTAGAGTGCATGCCTAACATGCTTGAGACACTGGCTTCAACCCCCGGCACTGCAAAAAGAAAAACATTTAAATTTACTTATTAATCATTATCTTTTTCTTTAGAACAACTTTTCTTGTTTAATTGTAATATGTCAGGTGACTTTTTGCCGCTCAGTTAATTTCTCTCTGTGTGCTGACACTTGATAATATGAAACCTCTTAAGGGAAAAAAATAGGCAAGCCACTTATTCCTGAGTTTTTAAAAATGATTACTGTCTGTTAATTGTTAAATGTATCTTAATCACGTTTATTTCATGTAGTACAGAAAATTTGGTAGCAGTTTATTTTCCTTGCTAATTGTGGCTTTGGTTTTGTTTTGTTGTAGGAAAGGGGACTACCACAGGTATCTGGCTGAATTTGCCACAGGAAATGACAGGAAGGAGGCTGCAGAGAACAGCCTAGTGGCTTATAAAGCTGCTAGTGATATTGCAATGACAGAACTTCCACCAACGCATCCTATTCGCTTAGGTCTTGCTCTCAACTTTTCCGTATTCTACTATGAAATTCTTAATTCCCCTGACCGTGCCTGCAGGTAAGTCGTAGAGAACCACAAAAGCTCTCAGTGTAAAGTGAAAAGAGTTCCAGAGGAATAGATAGCTGCTTATTTTGTTATCTTGTCCAATGGGGTTACCCTTGTCAGCTCAGGCACATAAGTATTGTTTTGGTCTTGCTGAAACTGCTTTGTATAATTTAAAGGCAGACCTTTTATAAGCCTCTATCGTAGAAGTTAGGATAATTGTGGGGTTTTGTGTTTTGTTTATTTGGTTGGTTTTTTTTGTTTTTGTTTTTGTTTTTTGTCTTTTTGAGACAGGGTCTCACTATGCAGTTCAGGCTGGCCTTGAGCTCACTTTGTAGCCCAGGCTGGTCTCCAAGTCCCAACGATCCTCCTGCCTCAGCCTCCCGAGTACTGAGATTACAGGCGTGCACCACCATGCCCAGCTAGGATAATTGTATTGATGGACTAACATACTGTAATGTGTGGGGGAGAGGGAGGAAAGGAATTATGATTTATGATAAATCGTTTAAGTTTTTTTGTACTAGCTTTCAGTCTTTATGGGCATGCTTTTGGGAGAGGTGGGAGAGGTAGGAGATGGTCTTCTCTTGTTACTGGGGATTGAATCCAGGCAAAGCATGTCCTCAGCTCCATTGAGATAGGAGTTTGTTAAATTGTCTAAGCTGGCCTTGAACTTCCTGCCTCAGCCTCCTGAGTAGGTATAATTACAGGCATGTGCTACCATGCCCTGCATAGTCATCCTTTTAATAAGCTACTCTCCCAATGAATGTTATTTTGTATTTTCTATTTTTGTGGGTTTTTTTTTTTTTTTTTTTTTTTTTTTT